AGTAATTTAGTGTCTTGGTTACTAGAATCAGACTGTTGTATGTTTTGCTCTATTCTTAGAACAACTTCTTTTATTTCACTAACTATCGTTAGTATTTGTTGTACATTTCCTACTTCAGGATTTTTAGCCATTTAATCCTAATTCTTTTCCAATTTGATTTACAAGTAAAATTACTTTGCTTAAATTTTCCATTAATGGTTCAATTTGTGGAATTTTCTCATCTAATTTTATTAAGGTTTCCTCTAACCTATTTACGTTTATTTTGTTAATATTTTCAATAATTTTGTCAGTTTTTGCTGCAATATCAAGAATTTCTGATAGTAGAGTATCAAAAAATTCGATATTTCTACTCGTTTTTTCAAGTCTTCCAAGAATTAATTCTTGATTATTTCGAATTTTTTCAAATTTTCACAAAGAGGAATATTATTTGATCTATTCATTTTTCAAAGAATATAATAGTTTTACTATTTAGTTTTCTTGAGATTTACGATTGCTAATGCCTAGTACATTTTATTTCTAGTATTTAATTATCTTATATACCAATAAGGGCATAAAGGTCTCTTCATTATTTTATGAATTTTTGTTTTATTTTTTATAAAACCTTTTTGGTCAAAGGTTATTTGAACATCTATATATATTGAAAAAGAAAGGTCAATAAATCATTTGTGGAAACTTTTAAAAAACTGGTCAACAACACCATTGACTTTCCATTTGTGAAAACCAATTAAAAAAATCCAAAAATTATCTATTTTTTGATTTTTTTTTTTTATTTTAAATCATTCCAAAACAGAATCAAGCAAAAAACAGAATACTGGAATCATCCCAGTATAAAAAATTTGGCTGGATTTTTTTTTCCAATTATTTAGGAAACCACCGGATTTTCTCAACTATGAAATCATAGGAATCCCAATTTTTTAGGTAACAAATTTAGAGATTTTTTTGGATATATTCCAACTTATCTTAAACATCTATATAATTATATTACTGATAAAACTCTTCATTATCTTTTAAAAAAAAATCATGTTTTTCCTTTTCCTTTTCTCCCAGCGGCTGCCATTGATGACGTCCACGGCAAGAAGCTGCTCAGTTTTCTGACGGCAGCATGCGACAGAAAGGTTACTACAACAACGTCAAGTTCCATCGAATCATAAAGGATTTTATAGTGCAAGGAGGTGATCCAACCGGAATTGGGAGAGGCGGCGAATCCATCTATGGTAAGCACTTTGAGGATGAGATAAGTAGAGAGTTGAAGCACACTGGAGCTGGTATCATATCCATGGCAAATGCCGGTCCGAATACAAACGGGAGCCAGTTCTTTATAACTCTGGCACATGCACCCTCTCTAGATGGTGAGCATTCTTTAGAGAACTTACATTAATGCATCTAGAAACTTCATTACATTGTAAGACTGCGAGACCGAATCGAACTTTTCAATATATGATGTGTTTGTTACACTTCGTCATAGATATTACGTATATGTAATATGTAAATGCCTCTATTTTAGAGAGGTCCTTCAGTCCTGTGAGTTTTGAAAGTCAGGATTTTCATTTCAAAATAAAATTATTAAATTGGTTGATTTGCAGTTTGTTTGGATTGTGATAATATGTGCTCCAGTGGAACATTATTTTATCAGCAACAACTTGTATTTGGTGTGAAGTTAGGTTCTCTTGTAACCTTGGAAAGGTTATGCGAGGAGCAGTATTGGTGCATTTGAGTGTATCTTGTGGTTAAAACCTTTTTAACATGCTATTGTAAACCATGTGCTGTTTCTGGTTATGTTCAAACTGATAACACTGACCGTCCTATTCACGATGTGAAGATCTATTAAGGAGTAGCTAATGAATAGCTTCTGAAGCCTTTGCTCAAGTGAGTCTTATCACTGATTTTGGAAAGTTCTGTTAAGATGAAGCATTCATGGCAACACACTATTGTAGGATCTGTCTTTTATGTTTCGACTGTTGTGCTGCCATTCGTATGTTACGATACTTTTGCCGATGGAAAAGAGATGACAAATGGACACTATTGCCGATTTTTTTTCGCTTTATATACTCCGTGTGAAGAAATTTCATCCGTCTATTTCTGTTGACTTATCGTGATCGTTTGATTGATTTTTCTGAAGCTTTGGTCTGAGATTAATCCCTAAGCCCACATATAATGATTAATAGGCTCATAACTATTAATTATATGGACCAGATTTTGGCCCAGTTAAATCAATTTTGATAAAATATGTCAAACCCACATTTATTTGATTCATTAATTTTATACTAATCCGACACATTATTATTATTTATTTATACGTCATAATTTATATAGATTATTATTATAGATCTATATCTATATCTATAGTAATATAAAGAGGTTGTTGGAAAAATACAAAAATAGTAATTTTGACTTAATAAATAATCCTTTCACTTACTAATATAAGTAATACTTACAAACCCACATGTCAAAATGGTTTACAATTTTTTTTTAAAATCTTTTATCCGATTAGGGGTTTAAATATGATCGAATTTTGTTAACAAACGTGATCGGATTTTGCTAATAAATCTTTTACACGGTTGACTTTTGGTAACAAATTCGATATTTATTTACACTAATTATTTGGCCGAATATTTGGTAAATGGTCTGATATTTTCGAGCATATCTTTTTGTAGTAACATTCTGTACAATATGATCGGATTTTGTGAGATTTTTTTGGGTAAGTCTTTTTAGCCGAAAAGAAGTTCGAATATGATCGAATTGTGTTAACAAATATGTCAGCCGATCGGATTTTGGTAACAAATTTTAGATTTATTTACACAAAATTTTTGGCCGAAAAATTGGTAAATGGTTTGATTTTTTTTGAGCATTTTTAGCCGAAAATAGGTTCGGATATGATCACATTGTGTTAACAAATATGATCGGATTTTGTTAACAAGTCTTTTAGTCAATCGAATTTTGGTAACAAATTTCATATTTATTTACACAGAATATCTGTTCGAAATTTTGGCATATGGTCTGATATTTTTGAGTATTTTTTTTTTTTAATTTTAATTAGAATTTGCACAATATTATCCTATTTTTTGGGTTGTTTATTCGTAACAAATTTTTTTAAAAAAATCAAATCAATCTAAAAATTCTTACATTATTTGATGTTAACAAACTCTCTTAATTTTGGTAAAAATGATGTCACGTTGATATGGCAACATATCCTTCAAATTAATCGTCCATCCCTCACACATGTAACACGTTTCCCTTTTTTTTTTTT